TCCCTCAACAAGGCAACTCTGGAATCGCGCAAAACTTCTAATCGTCCGCGCTTGTTGTCATTGTATTTTCCCATCCATCGCTACCTGTATATTGCGACTCTATCTTTACCCATCTCCTTTAGCTCTCATTCGACATATATCCAAACGGAGGCGTTCATCGGGTGGTCATCAATTCATTTTGCATCGTATCGATCTTCGCGTTTGTTAGTTGTACTGTTGTTGCATGCACATGCAAGTTCGCCCATATGGACGCCGGAAAACCCTTCCGCATGCCCCACTCCACACAACGGGAGTCTTCCTCGGAGGGCACAACAAACAAAAGCACGAGCGTTTTTGAGTCTGGACCAGCGCAGTATGCATATTTCACTACACGTCGATTTGTCGGCAAGGATTCAAGAGGTGGGACCTTTTTGATTCTCTTGGATCTGTGTGAGATGATGCATGCTGGCAGCTTTTTTCCTTGTCTTGTCACCTTTTTCTATCACACTGATGCTGGGATCTCGAGGATTGACGCTTTCTCACGCGACCAATATAGCACTCTTGTAATTAGCCAACGCCTTTTCTCCATCACCATCTTTTTACCATTTAACACGCACGCCAATTACTTGGGCATACACCTTTTCTTTTACACGTTTGGGCCCGCAGATGACGTTGGAGCTCTCTTTACATAGGCAGAGAGAAAAATAGATTGACAACAAACTCTACACCGGTCTTTTGCTCCCTTTTCTATGTTCAACCACACTACGCCATCGAGAAAACTATTTTCATCATGTTCATCGACTCTGAATACTTCCAAATCGCTCTCCGTCTGACCCTATTCCACTGCATAACAAAGAATGTGGTTATCTGTCCTCGCCCAGCCACTCGTGTGCTTGAGGTGTACGCGGCCCGACAGCAGGTCTGTTTTGATCTAGACCTAGACCACTAGCTGGCAGCGGCCGGCAATACTGTTGAGAGACTCCGGTTCGCTCCCAACGCGTCCGCTAGTATACAGTAGTCGGCAGTAGCTACGTAACGTAGCATGCATGCTGCATGCTTGCGAGGCTGTACATGCAACGTAGATCTTGCCCCGACCCCGCGGTCAACATCCTGCCGAACCGTACCAAACAGTCTGTCGATTGAGATGGTTGTGTGATGCAACATTACAAGTAGTAGAATATGGGTCGTCACGCTTGCCTCTTTCTTCCAATATCCTTACATTCGGATCCGGAGTCATATCTGTACTTCAGAAAGACAAGAGTACCATTCGGCGTGCCCGGGCTGTCGGTCAGAGTTCCCATGTTCTCTGGTGTCATTGCGGGGTTCAATGGTGGAGTTTGGTTCAACAGCGGCTTGCTAGAATTATGAGCTATCCGTCCTGTTCCAGACTTCTGACTGGTCCCTCATCGTATTTTTGAGGGAAAAAAGATGGCCGGCCTGCTTGGCGTGTGTAATAATAGTAGAAGGACGGCGAGGTCTGGATACTGTGTGTTGTATGAGTAATCGCATCTGCGGTTTATTGTAGATTTGGCTGTGAACACATGTGCGTGGATATCAAGCAGGGTGTAGTTCGTCATGGATAACTCCGTCGATGGGCTTGCAGACTACATACATCCAATTGGAACTACATAAACAACCTTACCAAAGCCGCATTATCTCAAATCACCTCCACCCTTGGGTTTGGCGAGATTGAATCTTGCCCTCTTGCGCATGCTGGCAGCTTTACCAGGCTCCGTAACCCTAGGTTTGGACTTGTCTATGTCTATCATACTCTTGAAGACTGGCGCCGCTTGGGAGGTCTTGGTCGGTTTGAGCGCGACATCATCAATCGTGGGAGGGGCAGGCTGGACAAGACCCAACCGTTCTTGGAGCTTCCTGTATTGGACTTCAGGGTCTTGCCGGTTGATGCGCGGTGCTTTTGGCTGGCTATGGGGCACCCCAGGAGGCTCCATTGCAGTTTCGAGATCGCTGGCTCGTTCTTGATGTAAGCCCGATTGTTCTTTGGTTGGAGAAACAGTGGTTTCAACAACAGAAGAGCCAGTCGCGCCAGAACGCTCTTCGGTTGGAGAAGTTGAAGGTCCAACTGGAGAGCCAGTCGTACTGGATTGGACCGAAGTAACATCGTTTGTTGGTGCTACTTCGACAGCTTCGAGCGCCCGCTGCCACCAGTATCGCTCTGCTTCAGCTTCTTGCTCCGCTCTCTCGAGCGCAATCGCCTCTTTCTGCAGCCTGCTTTTTTCCAATATAGTCATCAACTTTCTCCGATCGACTATTTTCGCCAGAAACCTCAGTAGATTAGGATCCGACTCGTCCTCGGCGTCTAGATGTGGTAAGATATCGTCGAGTTGGTCGACAATTTGGGCATTTGCATATCCTCGCACCATGACTCCCCAGGTGTATTTGGCAGGATCAGTGCCCCTGTCGCGCATAATCTCAAAAATCCGTTCTGCCGCTTGTATCTGGCCTGTCTTGAAGAAAGCCTGCATAAAGATATTCCAGCTGTAGACATTGGGCTTTGCCGGACCATTGGTCATGTCTTGGATGAGCTGAGATGCGTTTGCGAATTGCTGTTTTTGACAAAAGGCGTAGAGGAAGGCGTTCCAGATCTGCGGCTGTCGAGCCATTTCATTGAATGCCGGATGGCCCCCCTCTTGCACGACCGACTTGAATTTGAGATACAAGTTATAGACTCGCATGTTGCTAACTGCCAAGGCTGATTGAATCTCTGTCTGCAGCATGATGTATAGCGTTACATGTGAAGGTGAAATGCGCACAGACTCTGGCGTAGATGAATCTTGTGACATTACGGCGTTCCCTAGGCTTGCGGTTCCGTAGCCAACGAATGGCTGCAGAGGCGCGGTCGTGAAAAGTCTGGAATAAGAGTGCCATAGCATGGCAGAGGTCTGTTCGACGTTTCCCTCAACTCTGTAGCGTACATACTGATAGTAGAGACACTCCGTTGCTAGCCAGGAGTCCTGGATGTCTTGTGCTACCTCTTCGCAATACTGTGCAAATCTTTGGAAAAAGGCCGGATCGTTTTGCATGGTACATCCATGGAGCATTATCCCGAACGTGTATTTGTCTGGCTGTAGGTCATTATTTTCGAAGGTGTTGTACACCTTGAAAGCCGTGGCATGATCTCCAGCTTCCATTGCGTTGTGTATGACAACATTGTAAAGAAGTAAGTCCATCTGGATACCCATGTTTACAAAGGCAGCGACAATATATGGAGTGTGGTAGAAGTCTTTGGTTGCAGTCATGCTCCTTCGCAGTATGACAGCGCACACCCAGCGAAGTCTTTGACGCGCCACAACAGACTCCCACGACTTAGCTGAATGTCGGCTTTTTAATGCCTCGAGGCATTTCAACGCATACTGCACTTCACCGGCCTGCCCAAATGCTGTGGCATAGTGTAGCACTGTATCGTAGTCAACGCGTGCCTTGTGTTCCACGAGGCAATCGAACACTTTCTTCAGATCCTCTATCTTGGCCAGCTCAACAAGATTGTACAGTAAGTCTTGGGAACAGAGATCGGGCTTGCTAGATAACGTCTTGACAAAGACGTGCAAGAACGCCGGGACGAATTCGCGCTTGCGTGCTTCCAGGTCAGTACCCCAACTCCGGTCATGATACAATCGGTGTCGATGAAGCTTGGAAAGATGACTGAGAGCGTCGGCAATAGCTTCTTTCTTCCGGCTCCAGGCACGTGGATCGTTAACCAAAGCTTGGATGAAGTATAAAGCGCGGCCAGGCTTACGATCCAGGAGGTAAATGAGCAACTTATGAGCGTAGGCTTTCCGCGTCGAGATGTCGAGAGCCTTCCACCTGTCCGATACTTGGCGCGGACTTGATCCAGTGTCTCCCGCAAAAAGCGTCCAACTCAATCGCGCACACCGTGGGTCGTGTTCTATAACGACGCTACGTGTGTTTCTTCGCAAAGATGCGTAGACGGGCCGATCCAGTGCCGCAAACGCGTGTTGAAGGCCGATCTCTCTTGGTGAAGTGCCAGTCAGATCAAGATGCGTCTGGTTCCAGCTGACGAGGTTTGCCACGCGGCGTTGGAGGGACCTGTATCGGCCATCTTGGTCGCGCCTTGTACGTGAAAACGAGGCAGGCAGTCTAGAGACGTAGTTGTCGAGTCGAGCCCGTTCCAATGAGAGTTGTTTTGAATGTCTCTCGGCTCGCAAAGGTGTGCGCTGAACGGAGGATGAGGGAGCACGAGTGCGAGTGGCCTGAGCCCGACGAGCTTGAGGTCGCGAGAGCGTCTTCTCATTCGCTGTGCCTTGGTTGCTGGATGTGGTCGTTGCGTATGAGCGGGCATACTGGCGAGTGAATGTCGATATATCCGCATAGAGACGATTAACAGACACAGGACCGTCGGTTCTCTTGTTCCAATGGCCAGAAGTGCGTAGGAGCCCCGCAGCAGGAGCGTCTTGTGTTGGTCGCTTGCGACATGTTGGTACAGTTATCTGTCGGCGCTTTGAGGTAACGTCGTGGTCTTCCACTCTATTGTTTTCCTCTAAGCTTTGTGGTCTATCCTTCTCTTTATCCCGTGTTGTACTAGGCCTTCCATGCTGTTGCCTGTGTGCTTTCGGTGTCGATGACTGGGCGAAGACTCTCGGAGCGAGGAACGGCAGGATGGGAAGGTCCGCGCTGGCGATGAGGCTAGCATTGGGAACGCGAAACCGGGGCATGAGAAGATGCAGGTGCTGTCGTCTTCACGGAGCCATGACGTGTCAATGCCGAACAAGCTGGTGAGGATGGCGAGGAGCACGAAAACTTGAGAAGGTGCGTGTTTGGTCAGAAGCGCTAACCGGAGAAGATCTTGGACTCCCGAGCTGTTCTCCGCAGCCACACAACAACCACGACCACTCCAGCAGCCACCCAGCACACACTCTGTTCTTTCCGCGCATTCTCAGGAGGAATTTTGTGCATAGCATCACGTCATAGACCAGCTTTGGACACGTCCCGACCCTGCACGCAAGCATACTCCTGCCCGGCGCAACCGCAAAGCTCTCACCATGTCTTCGCACGAAAAGCTATCCGCAGCCGCCAACGACCGGAAGTCGCGCCTCGCACAACTCAAGTCGCTGAAACGGAAACAAGAACAAATATCAGACGCGCCAGAAGCTGCCGACTCGCCATCCACCCAGCTCCAGGCCGAGACGTCGCAAGCTCTCACGCGCACAGAAGAAGGAGAAGAAGCTTCAGTAGCAGCCACATACCTCTCCGGCCGAAACTACGATGCGACGACGCGGAATGTCAAGTTGGGCTTTGACAATACACCGATCGTCGACCCTACAAACACATTGGAATACAAGGCAGAGCAGCTGGCGCTCGAAACAAAGGCGCAACAAGAAGCAGAAACCGCAGAAGACAAGGGACTGGACCTATTCAAGTTGCAGCCCAAAAAGCCAAATTGGGACTTGAAGAGGGATTTGGAGCAGAAGATGAAGGGACTCAATGTGCAAACAGACAATGCAATTGCAAAGCTGGTCCGCGAGAGAGTGGAAGCCCAGAAAGCCATAAGAGAGAAGCAACCGACAGACGGCAGCAATGGAGAAGAGGTGGGTATGGAGGGTAGTGAGCTGGTCGAGGCAATGCATCTGAAGGAGCAAGAGGACGAGCGAGAAAGGAAGAGGGATGAGGAGGACGAGGACGTCAGTTGAGAGTTTAAAATATGGTGGATGCGATTTGGTCAATACACGCAACCTCGACGATCGGGTCTGCTCAAGGACGCAGATACGAGGGCATCGAAACGTGAGAAGACGACTGGACGATACCCAAGTCGAGTCACAAGAGGGGACAAGAAAGTTACTTTCTGCAGTCCATCATGGAGGATCAAAATTCTAATGTCACGATCAAGCCATAATTATCGCTTACTCTTAGACGCTGTCCTCCCCCAACAATCACGCGAACGACACTTGCTGAAGACAGCAAGAAAAATACAATAGATGCGCTAGGACGTGGCTCATTGTATTCGTCTCAAGAGACACAAAACATATACAACAGTTGGTCTTCGCTAGTAGTCCGTGGAACCTAACATCCGGCAGCGCGCAGAGGAATCGTGTCGCATGGAATAGATACAAGAATTGGCTCTCTTTTGTGCCGTAGACGAGCTCTTGCTGCCCGTGAGCGTCCTCTGCACTGAAAACGTGGTGTGGGGACTGGACAACTGAGGATAATCATTGACCACCAGTATATTATGCTTACGACATCTCTCATCTCTGAGATCATCTTTTCGTCCAGGTCGTCGATGTCACGGAAGTTGTGGTTCGTTTGGCTCTGCGTCATCGCTGTACCATGGGGTGAAGTGGATGGCAACCAAGATATGGAATCGCACACAGACGTAAACCAAAGATCATTGACCACCATGAAATATTCCTTAGAGCGAATCTCGGTTGAACTCGAGGCAACCATATAACTGAAGTCAGCAGGTGTCTTAATCGCTGCGGAACCGGGACATCTGGGCGTTGACTACAAAAGGAGCGCACTGTGCACCTCCATCATCAATCTCACCACGAAAACCCGAAAACTCGAACCTACGCGATTCCTTCTACCATGACTACTGCCAAAGAAGCTTCTACCTCAAAAATAACGGAGAGACACGATGTCACTGCCTTTCCCTGGCCCTCGTTGCCTGCAGATATCCGTCTTTCAATCCTCGACGAAATCTCGGGTCAGAAACACCCTGGCTGGGCTCAATGCGCAGCCGTCTGTAAGGAGTGGCAGGCCATTCTTGAACCCAAGAATTTCTCCCAATTGTTATTGCAGCCATCCTGTCTAAGCGAACTAGAAACCCTCGTTATCCGACAAAGGCCTCTTGTCAGGCACATCTGTTTCAATATCGCTCTTCCTGGATACGCCTGTACCGATTGTGAACGACCCGCCATTGCGTCTCGTGATAGATCTACCACGTTCAAGAGGGCTATCATAAAGCTCTTTTCTATCCTAAGTACCTGGCAGCCTGCCGGTCAGTTGACACTCGAACTGAGCGCATCTTCACCGAGTGACTCACAACACTGGTTCAAAAACTACTGTTTTGGGCCTGGGCATGAAGACACAAGAGACTGGACGCAAGAGGAGAAAGCCATTAGATGGCACGACCCAAAACACGGTTGGGTCAATGGTCAGCAGCTCGAGACTCCTGGCCGGCCCGCCGTTTTGCGCCTGTTCTCTGAGCTCCCCTGGAACATCCCTCAAAACATCCCTGCCGTTAATGCCGTTACAGGCTTCTGCATACGTCGACAACTTCGACATGAGCTTTCTCCCAACGTACTAAAGGCCTTGTGGGAGAAACTCCCTCGGCTAGGAAGTATAGTCCATGAGTCGTGGGTTGTCCGGCGCAATTACCGGATCCTGCGTGCATATCGTACGTTGAGCCCTTTCTTCACTACACGCTTTTGTGCCTAGAAATGTAGAGGGGCCGTACTCGTTCTGTTGAGATTGTCTTATATCGGATCTGGTATAAGATTGAAGACCCACCTCTACCCCTTCCACCTACATCAAACATGTATTTTGGTTTTTTCTGAAATCTTAATAGTACTGTTCCCCTGGGTCCTGGAAAGCGTTCCAAACTCCGTTAGGAGATTATCTATCTTTAAGGACTTCAACAACCAACTTGAATTGGCAGTTGATGACGCCACGCCACATTTGAACCAACGTGTGGAAACTCCCTCAGCTACAAAACTCCACCTTGCCAGAGCGTTTGCCGCCAAAAGCCAACATCTAGAGCGCCTTTCTATTTCATACATGATCGACGCCCAGCAGTTCTTCACTTCATGCCAGCAGCTGCCATGTACCTGGAATCACCTGCAGTCGTTGACACTCACATCATCCACACTGGTCCGGACAGCTCCTCGCCAAAACATTTATACACTGTTGCGGAACGCTAGTTCGGCTGCACTGAAGATGCCCCAGCTCCAAACCATGGTGCTCTGGAACAGTGAACCCGGACAAGCCTGTGCGGTAATTTATCAGCGACATACTGCAAGTGCAATAGCTACACTTACATGGCGTGGCACATGGAATCTCGAGCTCAGTGATGAGGTTATTGAGTCCTGGAAGGAGGTTGCCTCTGGTCCGTGCTACCTACGGTTGGAAAAGGAAGCATTATACAACGTGGATATCAGGTCCCATGGTGATTCAATTCATCATCTGCGCTTGCCGGATGGAGTTGTTGACTCAGAATCACTGTGTCAAATACGCTACGAGGGAAGGATGCAAAGAATGGCCTGATTAGTGTATTTGTACAAATTGCTTTCGTCCTAGTAAAATGGAAGATAAAGAAGGGTAGAGGAGTTATAAAAGAGAAAAAGTGGGTGGAGCAAAGAGTAGAAGTAGAAGTCAAGTGTACCTAGGTAGCGTTTACATTGACCAGGAAGACATAGGCTTCTTCTACAGTAACCTCAGATCTGTGTCGGCTAAATGGTCTTCGATACAAGACGCTCATGGAATTGTCCCAAGAAGAATGATCGCCATGCCAAATTCTCGTACTCGATGTGTCGCGCCATTCTACACGCTGGAATCCAGGTACAAAGATAGTTAATTCCTGACTAGAGAATAAGGTGTCAGTATCCAATACAGCGTACCCCTTCGAATTTACTGCTCTAACAAACTCGCCCAGAGCGGCTCGATGTTTATAGAACAGTATACGTGCTTCTGCGTATATACTGAGGGGGTCACTAATATTATGTGGTGGTTGTCTACTGTCGCGTCTTGTTAGAAGTTTACCCTTGCGCGGAGGGTCGGTTATTCAGACCCGCCCCTGTCATTCACGAGTCAACCTCGGCATCTCCACGCGCCAAACTTCCACGGGTGTTGCGGATGCGGGGACAACCGTCGCGCTATATACATCACCATGGAGCGCGTCTCGCTATTCTCCACTATCTCCGTTCTTTCAGAACCACCATAGTTTGATTGTACTGCTACGTCTCCATCGCACCTACTCCACCGCTAAAGCTTCTTCGCATCCCAACCTTCACAACTCACAACCGCCATCATGGTCGGCAAGAAGCAGCCCGTCTACGTCCTCGGCGTGGGCATGACCAAGTTCATCAAGCCTCGTGGCAAGGTGGACTACCCTGAGCTCGGTTTTGAGGCAGGCGTCAAGGCCATGCTCGACGCGCACATCAACTACGACGATGTCGACCAAGGCGTCGCATGCTACTGCTATGGCGACTCAACTTGCGGTCAGCGCGTCTTTTACCAGTTCGGCATGACTGGCATTCCCGTATACAACGTCAACAACAACTGCTCGACTGGTTCGACCGGCCTCTACATGGGACGCAACATGATCGCGCACGGAGCGGCCGACTGCGTTTTGGTCGTTGGTTTTGAGAAGATGTTCCCCGGAAGTCTACAGAGCTTCTTCCAAGATCGCGCAAACCCCACAGGCACAACGAGCCTCATGATGAAGGAGACGCGGGGTATTACCAAGGCACCGGGTGCTGCACAAATGTTCGGAAACGCTGGACGGGAACATATGGAGAAGTGAGTCCCGACGTCGGGATCAACCCATGTTTCTATCATACTGACCACCTCCATAGATACGGCTCCGAACTCAAGGACTTCGCAGAGATCGGTCGCATTAACCACGCCCACTCGAAGAACAACCCCTACTCGCAATTCCAAGACGAATACACCCTCGAACAAGTCATGAACGCACCCATGATCCACGAACCCCTCACAAAGCTCCAATGCTGCCCGACCTCCGACGGAGCTGCTGCCACAGTCCTGGTCTCGCAGGAATTCTTAGACAAGCGCCCCGAGCTCAAAGACCAGGCTATTCTGATTGCTGGCCAAAGACTAGCAACCGACACACCGTCACTGTTCAACCGCAGCGCCATTGAGCTAGTAGGATACAGCATGAGCGAGTTGGCTGCTCGCGAGGCGCTCGAGGAGGCCAACGTATCACCAGACGACGTCAAGGTGTGCGAACTCCACGACTGTTTCTCTGCAAACGAGATGGTGACCATTGAAGCCCTCGGCTTGGCTCCCAAGGGCAAGGCTCACGAACTTATCCGCAAGGGTGGCATTACCTACGGCGGAAAGGTCGTCATCAACCCCTCAGGCGGTCTGATTTCCAAGGGCCATCCCCTCGGCGCCACAGGTCTCGCTCAATGCGCTGAGCTCGTCTGGCACATGCGTGGTTGGGCAAACAACCGATCAATCAAGGATACAAAGGTTGCTCTACAACACAACCTGGGTCTTGGAGGCGCCGTAGTATGCACAGTGTACAAGAGGCACGATGGAAGCGCCGCGACAGACAAGTCAGACGAGCAGATCGCCAAGATCACTGGACTGGGATACAACCCAGCGACAGTCGCGAAGGGATTCACAAAGGAACAGGTCGATGCTGTGAGGAGCAAGAAGGCGAGGAGCCAATGGGCACTGCAAGACACAGAGCAAAAGGTTGAGGCGAGGTTTTAGACGGGTTTCGCTGTAACTACCGTAGCCTTCTGAATAGCGCTGTTGACTACATATATCCATCGTACCTACTTCCACTTATGCTCTCTCTATGCCACTCCGACCATGTTCGCCGAAGTCTAATGTATCAGTACGCAAAATGAAAGGAGGCGTACTTACCTAGTCCCATTCTTCTATCTTCCCTTTTGTTCTCACACCTACCAAGCAAGCATCCATCCACCAGGAAACAGTAGGAAATTTCGTTCGACTTACCTGCCAGCAGATGCCAGACGTCTGATCTCGCAGCGCCCAGCGCAAGGTGATCGACCCAACGGTATGGATATATTAGGAAGAAAGAGTTGAAAGAAAGAACCCCCCGAGCCCCGTTCTGACTCAACCCAAGCTAAAGATGATAGAAAGATGTAGACATCGACGCATACCGCAGTTTCGGCTCATGTTGGGCAACTTGAAATCGAGGGACTGTGAGAACGGTTCAGCCGCTCTGCCCACGGTTATTAAGGGGGAAAGGGAAGGTCGAGTGGGTGGCGGAGGGGAGGTATGCGCCGGTTAAGGAGCGTGGTGGTTTGGAGATGGATGACTGGACAACGTGCACCGGTCCGCTGTGACTAAGTGGTTGGAGACACCCGATGTCGATATTGCCTTTAGTGCCGATGGTATCTTTTTATATTTTTGTAGTTATGGCGAGACCGTGAGCTCAGTTGCGCTTTGTCATGGAGTGGGGAGGAATCCTGGAGAGGGAATGAATGGCGAGAATGGAAGCCGTCTTGGGGCCAGGCTGGGACCTACAGAGGTGTTAGTAGAATGGACAGTGTAGCACACATGCATTTGGTGGATGAGGGCTATAGTGGTTGCTTGGTGGTGTTGGAGTGTTGAGTGTGGGAACGAGAGTGAGGTGGGGAGGGAAGGTTATATACCATCTACAAATGTTTGCTGGAACAAGAGAATATCAGATTCGCGTGGATGTGATCACTGATTGCTGCTCGATTGACTCAGAACGGGATACAACAAGGAGATGATAGCAATCCGCTTGTCTTCCGTGCTAGACAGTCGTCCGGGTGTAAGTAACTTGTATGTTAAGTCATAAAGACATATCTTCACACGAACTAGACTTGAAAAGAATGGCAACCGGTTCATGTTTGAACTTGTGATCATGATTTGGTATTTCGAGTTATGCTCGAACCTTCGTTTCGCCATATGCAAAAAGACGCCCAATTTTGATGCCCAAAAGCGGCAACTGCCCTGCATAGTATGCAAGACAAGAATTACAGAGTAAGACCGTAGAGTAGAGTAGTATGCAACTTCTTCCAGGCTCGCTTTGTTAGCAGCCGATACTGTGCCATGCCCAATCCATGCTCAAAACTCAGGATCCTCCATGATGATACCAAAGCTACGACGGCGACTGATCAGACCAATATCATCGGAATCCTTCTTATATTGGGGAGACCAGCGATCTCTCCTTGTCTCGCGTCCATCACGCTCAGTAGCGGAAGCATTCTAGGCACCGCTCGCCACACCACGTATGTTGATACCACCTCCTCCTCCGCCACGCCGATCAGCAGATCCGCGGATGTTGATTCCTTCCTGGCTGCGTGCACGTCCTTGGCCACGGATGCTGATATCGTCATCGCGTGTGATGCGATCAGCGAGACCTCGTCGAGGCTGTGACGGCTCAGAGAAGTCGGTGACATAGGGATCGCGGTCGTCACCCTTGAGGCGACCAAACGACTCAGCGGGATCGTCGTCATCGCGTGTGATTCTGTCAGCTAGCGACCGCTTCTGTTGCGGAAGCACGGGCTGTCCGTTCTTGGTCATGCGAGAAAGTAGCGAATCCCCTCCTCTTGACTTCTTTGATCCGTATGTTGCGTCGATGGCGTTTGACCGATGGTGATTGCCCATTGGCGAAGTGTCAATGAAAGAAGAGTCCTTCTGCCAACGTCCACCACTCGCAGGGCCGCCGCGATCATAGTTTGCACGGTCGTGTGTCCAACGATCCATGCTGGGTTCACGGCGACGTCGGGTGTCGTTGCGGCTACGACTCCGGCTGCGGTACCGACGGCGGCCCGCGTGGGTCGCGTTCTCTGCGAATCCGAAGCGGCCGTCGCCTTCTTCGTCGGAGGCAGGGGAGGCGCTGCGTCCTCGTAGACGGCCGAAGCGTGGCTCTTGTGGACTGGGTCTGTTAGCTTGTGGACAGGATAATGGGGCAATGCGCCGAAGTACCTTCTTGAGCCTGGCCGGTAGGAATCAACATCGTCATTCCTGAGTCTACCAGCAGCGGGCTCACGACCTCCTCTGCCACCGCGGCCTCGAACTTCTCGTCCATCGCGGTCATCCCGGTTGTTTCGTCCGTTCCGGCGCGGGCCCCTTCGGTCAGCGCCTGAGTCGCCCATCGACTGGTCTCGGCTGTACCCCCGCCTTGATCGGTCCCTGGAGCCCATGTCCTCGTCGCCATAATCTAGGAAGTCCTTCTGCGGTTTTTGATTCCGCCGCGGCTCCCTCTGGTGGTTGCCAGCCACATCTGGGTTGCGCTGGTAGTAGTTGCTCTTGGTTGCTGCGCCCTTCGGCTTCTGGTCGCCGGCGTTGGACTGCCTGATCACGAGGCGACTGTTGGGCTTCTTTGAGTATGGTTGCGCTGTGCGGGGCTCTTGCAGTGAGATGTTGCTGGTGTCGCCCACGTCGGGGTGAGTGAGGATGCCTAGGGCGACGGTCGCGTCTTCCTTGTTGTAGAATTCGAGGTTGACCGAGTTGTCGTTCACCCAGCGCAGTTGCTTGACGCGCGGGTCTGATTGGCAATGCTCCATAGCCCAGTAGAGAGGGTCGTTGGGGTCGAAGTCGCTCACGCCCTGGAGGTTTAGCGATTCGGGCCATGCTTCGTGGACAATGATGTCCTCGAGGTAGGCGGCGGGGACGCTCCGTTCTTGCTCGGCTGGCTCCTGTGATGGCGCGCATGTCAGTCAATTGCGCCTTCTCGTGCAGGCTGGCGCAATGCTCACCTGGACAACCTGCTGTGGTTGCGACGGCTGTGCTACCGGTTCAATGTCTGCGCCTACATCAATGTCAATATCGTAAGCGACATCAGTCATGTCCGTGTCGTCCATGATGGCGGCTATATTTCAAAGAGGTCCGGCAATTCGGTGAGGTGGTGTTGTTGGAAGTTCGAGAGCTGTACAAGCAGCGCGCCGCGGTCGGTAAGCTCCAAAGCGCGGGCGGGCACTAACGTCATCACGTGCGTGATTGAGACGCCCCGGCACAATACGATTGCCCGACTGTGTTTCGCCACCAACAATAGCATAAACATCAGAGTGACGGTGAACGTGCAAGCAAGACAAGTTTGGATCAGGGTCGTCATAACACCCTGCAGCGGACCAATCAAGCTTGCAGACATGGCCCCTAGAAGCTAGCCACGACGCGTAACAATTGAAAGCGATGTATATATGTATATATGCTCGAGACATTGACGACTTTCTAAAACCGCCTACTATTTCACGACTGCTCCTCCAGCGTAAAGGTACCCGTCTTCGTAATGAGGTACTCATTCACTGCGACATCCTTTCCTGACTCCTTGCCATAGCCGGATTGTTTGATGCCACCAAATGGCGATTCTGCAGCAGAAGAGTTGCCCTGGCATATGTTAGTATGCTTTCCGATGTTTTCATTGTCAACTTACAGTGTTCAGCCCGATCATGCCGGCCTCCAGATTCTCAAACAGTCTCCAGGTGCGATCAACGTTCTTCGTGAAGCAGTAGGATGCGAGGCCCATACTGGTGTCGTTCGCGGCCTTGACAGCTTCATCCTCAGTCTCGAACTTAATGAATGTGCTGATCGGGGCGAAGGCTTCTTCATTGGCAATGTCCATGTCTGGCGTAATGCCGGTGATGACGGTAGGTTCGAAGAAGTAGCCACCGTCCTTTTCCACCTTGTTACCGCCCGTATGAATCTTCGCGCCTTTTTTCTTCGCATCTTCAACAAGAGCGAAGGCTTTCTCGACACCCCGTGGAGTAGTCACTGGGCCCATCGTCGTCTTCTCATCTGAACCGTGACCAACGACGATCTTTTGTGTCTCTGCGTTCCAGCGTTCGAGGAACTTGTCGAAGATTCCAGACTGAACGTATATCCGGTTCGCCGTAATACACGCCTGACCCGCATGTCGGTACTTCAACGCGAAGATCTGAGTCAAAGCCTGTTCGATATTCGCGTCGTCGAAAATCAGGACAGGGCAATTGCCGCCTAATTCGAGTGTGACTTTCTTCAGATTGTCTGCACACATCCTAGCGACTAGCTTGCCAACGCGCGTCGAGCCTGTAAACGTGACCTTGCTCACAAGCGGATGCCGACAAAGCGCCTCACTGAGCTCTGGTGTCTTGTCAAGATCTGTAGTGAGGACGTTCAAGGCTCCTTTGGGAAACCCAGCTTTCTGAGCGAGGTAAGCTAGTGTGAGTACAGTGATTGGTGTCTCCGGGCTGGGTTTCACAATCATCGTGCAGCCCGCAGCCAATGCAGCCCCAGCCTTGCGAAGAATCATGGCGATGGGGAAGTTCCATGGCACCAACGCGACAGCGACACCAAGCGGCTGCTTGATCGTGAAGATGCGTCTGTTTGGTAGTGCGGGAGTGAAGACACTGCCTTGAATACGCTCGGCTTCGCCAGCAAACCACCATGTGAAGCCTGTCGAGTAGTCGATTTCTCCATACGCCTCGGCTCTAGGTTTTCCAGTCTCATACACAAGAATAGTCGCTATGTCTTCCCTATTCTCCTTGATGAGGGCATCCCAGCGGTAAAGCATCTGTGCTCGTTGTCGCGGGCTGATCTTCTTGTACTCCTGGAAACATGCATGCGAGCTTTCAACAGCATTGTCGACGTCAGATGCATCGTTCGTAGGACACTCTATCCACGGCTTTCCTGTTCCAGGGTCTATTCGCCTGTCAGATCTCGGTGTTCAGATAAGTAGATATGCTGTGATGACTGACCGACCACTTCGAACGTCTTTCCCGACTTCGCTCGTACCCAATCGCCATTCACGAAAGATAGGCTATGAAGCAAGTCTGGATTGTTCAGCTGGGGTATATTAGTATGAGTCAATCCAATCGAGTTCGTATCGACGCACCTTGAACGGTAGCTCGTGTTTCCTATTTGACGCCATTTGGAGTTTGACTTGAAACTCGTTCACGTATGGAGATGCCTCGGAAATTCGTTCTAAGTTTCTACGTATCGTTGACCAAAGCTGGTGAGGGTGAAGTGAAGTTGCCTGGAGGAGACGATCTTGGAAGGCGCATGGATTCCGCGGCCACCATGGCCAGCATCTGCAGACAACAGAGCTTCCCCACTTTCCAGCGTATAGCCTACACGAGCCAGACGCGTATCTGCAGCGACACCCGGATATTTCAGGAAAGGCGATCCGAAGAGACGCCGAAGACGTTCAAAGCAGCGAAACGTCGGCGGAGACGTTCTCCAATTGGCTCAAACCTCGGTGGTCCTCCAACACGACGTCAACTCCATGCGGGGCATCGCGCTTACCCCTCACTGCTGTGCTCGACTCCGAAGAACGACTAGTCGACTGATGATGATTGGAGATGCGATACCGGTGGCAGACATCAGGGTCCATGAGATGGCAGGCAGGAGCGCCTTGTCCCTTTGTAATCATAACATCAACATCGCCGCTGGCTATTGAGACTCAGCATCGACCCTAGCAATTCAAATCTATATCCAAAAAGACACAGTTGACCCACTTGCATTATACCCTGAGGCTCAATTCATCAAATCTCTCATCATGGGCAGACTAGATGGCAAAGTCGCCATCGTGACCGGTAAAGCGCATCCTCATCAATCCTCTCACATCACACTAACAACCTCATCAGGCGGCGGCTCAGGCTTCGGTGCCGGAATCTCAAAAGGCATGGCCTCTGAAGGCGCCAAAGTCCTGGTTTGCGACATCAACCAGTCAGGCGGCGAAGCAACCGCAGCCACAAACCCTTCCTTTCTCGCCTTCCACAAGATGGACGTGACCAAAACCTCGGACTGGAAAGCCACCGTCTCGGTTTGTATCGAGAAGTTTGGGCGCTGTGATATACTCGTCAATAACGCTGGTTGGTCGTATACCAACAAACCCACGACGACGGTCACAGAGGACGAATTTGACAAGGTTTTCGATGTCAATGTCAAAGGTGTTTATCTTGGCTGCAACGCTTGGGTCAATCAAGCCATCGAGCGCAAAGAGGGAGGTGTGATCATCAACATCGCCAGTGTTGGAGCTACCAGACCAAGACCGGGATTAGTCTGGTATAACGCGAGTAAAGGCGCGATCTGGAATGTAAGTTATCTCCTACCTCTATCTAAACTTAGCATCGATCTCCCAATGACTAATGCATACTTCAGGCAACAAAAGGCCTCGCGGCAGAGTACGGGCCTCATCAGATCCGTGTCGTATCCATTTGCCCCCTTGTTACAGGAACGGGTCTCTTCTCTGCCTTTACAGGAATGGAAGATACACCGGAGAACAGGACGAAGTTCACGTCGAATGTACCCATGGGTAGGATTGGTGAAGTGGACGACGTGGTAAATGCGTGTATCTTCATGGCGAGCAAAGAGGCTGGCTTCATTACAGGAGTTAACCTGGAAGTGGATGGTGGACGGTGTATCTAGACTAGCTTTGCTACGGAGAAGAGAACAAGGGTCAAGCCGGCTCGGTACATCATCCCTTGAAACGGCTACAGAACGCCGTCATATCTCATCAACCTGAGCCTAACCTTCCATGTGCACATCTTCATCCTCCCCGTCTTCCTCATCCTCCTCATGGTCATCTTCGTCGTCGCTGTCACCGTTGTCGCTATCATCATCACTATTATCCTCCTCCATTTCATCCCCGTATTCCTGCTCAACTCCGTCTTCGTCTTCGTCGTTCTCGTCCTCCTCATAATCCCACGCCTCATCCGTCTCTAGCAACTCCTCAATCTCCCTCCTCCTCCTAGCCTCATCACTATTTTCATCCACTCCATCAACCAGCGCATTCTGTACAAAAGCACCCCTTCTGTCCGCTTTGTCCAGAGCGATCTCTCTGTCAATCTCCAAAGCCCAACCTTCCCAGACGGCACCCCTCTGAGTCGCCGTCATCCTTCCCCTACTCGCCCTCCACCTCTTTGTCAATTCTCGCTCCCTCACTACTGGAGATTCCACCATCATCATCTCGTAAGCCTGCTTCGCCTTCTCATAGGCAGCGCGATGCGGTACTGATGGTCTTCCATCCGGTGCTGCATAGCTCTCCAGCACGTTGTAGTGACCCTTTCGCACTCTATCTTGCGCGTTGGCCCATACGCCCAAGGGTAGAAAGACTGCGCGATTGAGGGTTATCTTCCCACTCTTGGGATGTGTGTACCCAAGGAGGAAGGCGTCAGTCTCGGCTACTCCATTGTCGCCTAACTTCAGTCCGCCGGGACCGATGGTGTTTGCGGGTACGACGATCTTAGGCAAATAGATCTGAATGGGAATACCGCGATGAGATGTCGTAAAGGGAGAAGTGGCTAGCAGACTTGGTGCGAAGGATGAGAGAGGAGAACCTGGTGGTCGCAGGTTAAGCGGAGATGGAGCAGTGCGCTGCATGGTCGTCTGAGGAGGAGCCAGTAGAGAATTGAGAGGGAGCTGTCGGCGCTGCTGAATAGATCCACCCTGATCAACTGGTCTGCTAAGACTTGGCAGGTCTGGTGCCCGTGGTTCGGGTAGTCCGGCATTTGGAAGTCGCTGACCATAGCTCGCGGTATGACCCTGTGTCTCTTGAGCAGCTACGAGACGCTGTGCAAAAGCCGGAGGTGGTGCATGATCAGAGCGTCCTAGTGGCGTCGGCCAAGATGAGGTGTAAGCTTGCTGAGACAGGTTTGGTTGGTGAGTAGCAGACTGGAACCAGGCAGGGGGAAGACCCGCCGGCGGAAGGTTCAAAGGATGAGCCCCATATACAAATGGAGAATGATGCTGGTGTTCGAATCCAGGTGGTAGCGGCGGTCGAGCATAAGGACCGAATCCTCCTTGGAAGCCCCTAGGCTGTTGGTGTTGAGAAAGTGACTGCGGTCCAGATACAGTAATGTTCGGAGTTTGAGACACTGCCGAAACAGGTGGTTGAGTATAAGGATGAGGGCTTTGCATACTCGCTCCTCCAGCTTGGACGTTCTGCTGGGACATCACTCGACTCACCGCCTGACTCACCTGCTGCTTAAGCATCCCTATCATTTGATCTGCGCGATTTGGAGTAGTATCCCGCACGAGCGCCGCAGCATGTGGTGGTGTCTGTTCTGCAACAGGAGCAACTGCTGTAGTAGGTAGAGCGGCATGGCTTGGTCGGTGTCGCAGGTGGGGGAACAATGTCGTGTCAGGAATGAACGTATTTAGAGGTTGAGTGGAGGTCATCGCAGGCGGTGGGCGCGGTAGCGGTGGTAGGTTCGGACGAGGAAGCGATGCAGGTGGTGGTAGAGATGGACGAGGAAGCGATGCAGGTGGTGGTAGAGATGGACAAGGAAGCGTCCTGAGCGATGGTAGGTTCGGACGAGGGGGTGTTGCGAGTGATGGTAATGAGGGTGTAGGCAGCAGACGCATTCTGGCCCTTGGGACACTCATGCCGTCGTCAGAATCCTCATCGGTACTCCCATCGCCGTCATTGTTTTTGTTCGGCCTACCGCCGTCAAAGTTGCCTGAAGAACGTGGGTTGGATGGGAAATTACTACGCGCGAACATCTCTGACAAGCCTGCTTTGTCTCTTGCACCTCGGAACAGCGTGCTCTTCATCTTACCCACAAGCGGTGTAGGAACGATGTTGATCCTTTGCAGCCCCTCATCTTTGGTCTGCTGAATCTTGCGCAACAGACTGTCAGTTACATTCGGGCGATGGGCGTGACTGGTCGTGGTAGGAATGAGAGGGACACCCGATGGGCTTTGGGGAGCAGCACTGCGCGCAGCAAACTGAGCCTCGTCCGCCAATTTGTTGCTGATGGAAATTTCCAATTGCTTTGCTCTATGTCGCTCCTTGAGCGACTTGAAAGCCTGCGCGAGTTTTGCGTCCTTCTCGTAGTTCTTGAGACCGCCTGCGTCCACGAGCGGTGGCGTCTCTTGCAGGCTCATTGTCTGATCTCTTTGGTAGTCTCTCATATTCTGTGGGGTGACTCCTGCTTCTACGAGTAAGAAGAAAGCGCGTTGTCGCGATTTGAAGCAAGCTTCGTAATACTTGGCGCGCTTGTACTGGTCTCGAGGGATGTTGATAAGAGGCGGCAGGGGTTCGTCTGTCTTTGGGGGCTGTATGCCGAAGTGTACTTCGCGGTACTTTAGACGTTCGCTTTCTTCTGTCTTGCGTTCAAGTGCCGCTAGGTCAGGCTTTTGTCGCATCTGAGTGGTTGTGTCACCGCCTTGTCCGTCCTTCCCGCCATCTTTGGCGACACCAGTTGCTTGATTCATTTCCTTTTTGACTTCCTGAGGAACAAGGAACGGATGGTATTCAAAGTCCCACAAACTCGGAATCTCGCCATGTAGAGCCGCCTTCAGAGCCTTCCCGTCCCCTTCGTAAAAGTCGATCCACCTGTAAAGGAACTCGATAAAGTTGGGTACCACTGTGCTGTCGACCTGCACGATATCGACCAGAATGCGCAACATGTCCTCCTCGTGCAAGAGATCGGGATCGATACAGCGAGCATGCAGAGTCATCGGAGGGGCGTTGCTGGCCGGTTTCTGCGCGGTAGGGGTGTTTGGCTGGTCCAAATCAAGGCGAGGTCTCTTTGCTGATTGCGGTGCCGCGAGGGATTGGCGAGCCGCTGACTGACTGACTTCCCACTGCACACACCACGTCCATAGCTCCTTGTCGGTCTCCAACGCCTTGCGCTCCGTGAAGTCCTGGAGAAGCGCGAAGAAAACGTCGTGGTTCGTGTCCATTCGGTAGGTGATGGCGTGAGCCTTGTACTGCTCATAAGGTACGAGAGTGGGTAGCGGCTCGACGTTGCCAACAACATCTTGTAACTCGAGATAGCGCTCGTCGAATAGGTCCATCACCTTGCCATGAGACGCCATGGTTGTGCAGGCGCCTGCGCTGTTGTTCAAGACGAAACCAAAGTGTTGTGGTGTTGCTGGTTGAGAGGTGAGAGGGGAGCTAGGCAAACGCGCGGTGTTGCCATGCGGACGCAAACGAACAATATCAGCGGAAACGCGGGGAGTAGCTTGAAAGTCGAGGACTGAGATCACGAGACAACGCAACGAAAGAGATTGAGCACAAGCAGCCTACCGTCCAACTCGGAAAATCTATGCTGGTCGTATTGCAAACCCGAGTATTTGTACAGTCGCCAGAGGGGTATCGTCGCATTCGTGCCATAGCGCCGCCTTCACTTGTTCCTAGTATACACGCGCGACCCAATGCTCATTTGCTGCTCTCTCTGATCTTCTGCATGATGGCGCTCGCCCTGTCCTCGGCCTCTTCCCGTACTCTCCGCCAATCTGTTGTGTAAACCTTCTTCACGCCCTCCTCGAGGCTTCGGTTCCAGCGGTCTTTGGCCATCTCGGCTAGCCCGACGGGAGCTTCCCGGCTTGTGGGTTCTGGCTCTGGCTTCTTGGGCTCATAGAATTCGGTGAGGACTTGGCGTTGCTGTCGTAGGAGCGCGGCTTGTGTTATGCGGTTTTGTGTGTGTAGGGAGATGCTGAGGTAGAGAACGCCTGTGGTCAGTGTGACGCCTCCGAGCTGCACAGGTTAGCTGGTGTCATTGCAAGCGACTGGTAGCACTTACGAAGCCGGTGATGAAGCCCATGGCTACGCTGGAGATGTGTCGACGTGTGGGCGAGGATGACGTGCACGGGTATTTTGCTGGATGCGTCGGGGGCCAATGGCTGGGCAGACAGATGTGCTGCGTCCGCTTGCTATCCCTGTATCGACGTGAGGGGCTGGCCAGGGCGAAAACACGAGAATGTCCGGGTGGTGGAAAGTTGACTCGAGTGTGAGGTCAGCGGAATCGCGCGATGGCCTGCCAGGATTATTCCGTCCCAATGCGGCAACATGTCCAAGATCCGTTGAACGCAACTAGCGCCGGTTCCTCCTCCATCGGCGCATGCCCTCACACTCCAGCCTCTCCCTGCAACCATGCTTTTTCTCCCACAAGCCCTCGATTTCATCGCCTTTATGCCCGTATCATGCTCCGTCCTCGCGCAATCTCTACGGATACCATCAGCTTTTCGTCCGGTGTGCTTACGCATATGTTCTCGCGACTCCTCACGCTAGACTATGCACCTTCAAGCGTGTGCATGGCCAGGTAGTAACTGCACTCCCCAGGGTTCATATGCACATGTCGCTCGCGGGGCTCCCAGTGGTACGCAGGGAACTGCCGTACCTACACACCATCGTAGAGTGGTTGCACACAAGCTTGGCACATCTACTTAAGAGCGTCCAATGCCTACATGGCAGCTGCCCTTGGAAATCCTTAGTCCAATCAATACAATAGCGAGAAGCGAAAATGGCACTAAATGAACTTGTGCAAGTGCCTTCTGCAACCAACATCCTCCTTCTCCTTGCGGTATATTGGGTTGTGTGGATCGTCTATTGTCGTACTCTACACCCACTTGCACGTGTACCGGGCCCCATATGGCCTGCCGTTTCGCGAACGTGGCTCAGGTGCCCATGCTCCAACCTCTCTCTCGGTAGGAGAAATGCTAATAGACGAGTAGTAAGAACTCCCTCAAATCTGCTTTCTTGACTGCCTTGAGGCACTCGCAACCACTGTTTTTACTCCTCGCCTCGGGAAGTAGCTTGTTCAAAAGCCAATCATGCTAACACGAAACTCACGAACAGTGTATCAGATGTTTCTTGGTGATTTTGAGGTCGCCCTACGCGCGCTACATGAGCAGTATGGTCCTCTTATACGCATCGCTCCGAACGAAGTTAGCTCCAGTGATCCAGACGCGATATCACTCATCTACACTACTCAGAAACCTTTGAGCAAGACGGACTGGTAAGTCACGCTTACAGGTACCATGAGTATGCTGCGTATGTCTGCTAAATCGGCAGGTATGCTTCTTTCCGCCCCCGAGGCATTAGCGAGCACGCAGACCTTTTCACCGAGACAGACGAAGAGAAGCACACCAAGTATCGTCGGATTGTTCAGCCTGCCTATCTAATGGCCAGCATTCTGAAGCATCAAGATGCGATCGATGATTGCACAAACTTGTTGAAAATGAGACTGCACGAACTTGCTAAAACGAACAAAGAGGTAGACCTGGGGCTTTGGCTCGAACTGTTTGCTCATGATGTAATTGGGCACATCCTTTTTGGCCAATCGTTCGGTTTCTTGGAGAAAGGTACACATGTGGATTCCTTCATTGAATCTGTGCACAACGCTGCCCCGCTTCTTGCTGTCATTACTGCGGCACCGCCCTACATGCGCAACATCATCATGCTGGCAGCCACGTGTATTCCTAGCACTTTGAAGCAGTTCAAAGCCGTACAAGCTACCGTGGTGGAAGCTAAATGCCAGACACAACTTCGCCTACAATGCCCGGCGGAGGCGAACGATCAGAGTCAAGACATCCTTTCTCAGCTCCTACGTAAAGTGGGACAGAAAGATAGTGAAGCTTGGTTCACACACAAAGAAGTCACATTGGAGTCCTGGGCTGGTATCATGGCCGGCGCTGATTCTGTCGCCATCAACTTAAGGGCAGTTTTATACTACCTTATGAGAACACCCGATGCAATGTCTAAAGCGACCCGGGAACTACAGACCCAGCAACACCTTCTCAGCACACCTATTAGCTTCGCAGAATCAACGAAACACCTATCGTATGTCAGTGCGTGCATTAAAGAAGCCTCTCGCCTTTTTCCAAGTACCGGATTCAACATGAGTCGTATAGCTCCTGCACAGGGTATTACTCTGTCTGGCATCTACATTCCGGCTGGGTATCACGTCGGCGTCAATGCTCAGACAGTGCAATACGACAAGAAGCTCTTCGGCGAAGACGCTCTGCAGTTTCGACCAGAGCGCTGGCTAGTGAGCGAGGCCAGAAAGTTTGACATGGAAAGGGGGATGCTATTGTTCGGTGCAGGAACGAGGACATGTATCGGAAAGAATGTAAGTCTTCTCAAGGAGATGAGCTATAATAGGGTCGCGTCTATTGCTGGTATACTGATCACACATCTTCCTTAGGTTGCCTTGGCGGAAATCCACAAACTCGTCCCAGAGCTCCTCCGCTGTTTTGACATGCATATGACTCATGATCGACCCTGGAAGACGTGGAATGCTGGGTTTGTGAGGCAAAGTGATGTCATAGTCAGGCTTGCTGTACGCTAGATATGGAATGTATCCTTTTCTCCAGCTTTGGAATTAGGCTGACTTCTCGGAGTATTTGCTTTCTTTCGCTTCTAAATTCAATACATGGTCAGTCAGTACCTATGCGACCTAGCGTGCAGATTCATTCGGTATGCGACTCAAGAGTTGAAAGGTCAGAGTGTCCGGGTGAACATGCATCTACATAGCATTCATTCCGTAGAACGCCTCAGGATTTTATGAACGTTCTCCGCGCTTTATCGTTCCACGTGGTACTCTATGATCCACCAATGATATCCGCTGTATGGGTCGGCTTTCCGTCAGCTCCAGCCTTGTCCGCACCACTATCGCGGTACTCATCCAGCGACGGCGTGTCGGCATAGCACATCTTCATAAAGCTCTCAGGGTAGCGTCCACCGCTAATCTCTGCCTCTTCGCACGCCTTGCGAATCTTCTGTTCCTCCTCCTTACTTAGCTCAACCTTCACACTCCCGACGTTCTCCTCCAGGCGCTCAGGCTTGGTAGTACCCGGGATGGGGAAGATGTCGTCACCCTGTGCCATCAACCACGCCAGTGTCAACTGACCAGGCGTAACACCCTTCGCCTTTGCAATCTCGGTGATGTGGTCCACGAGCTTCAGGTTTTTGGGGAAGTTCTCGGCACTGAATCGGGGCGCATAGCTACGGAAGTCGCCTTCCTCAAAGTCGTCGGGGCTCTTGATGGCGCCAGTCAGCATACCGCGGCTGAGCGGCGAGTAAGCGACAACTGCCACGCCAAGCTCGCGACATGTCTTAAGTAGATCGATCTGCTTGCTCTCGATCTCCAGCGCGAAGGGTGAGTATTCGACCTGTACAGCGGAGATGGGGTGGACCTTGTGCGCTCTTCGTAGCGTCTCAGAGCTGACTTCTGATAGACCGAGATACTTTACCTTCTTGAGATTGACGAGGTCGGCCATGGCTTGCACGGTGAGCTCAATAGGCGTCTTCTGGTCGACACGGTGACAATAGTAAAGGTCGACATGCTCGACTCCGAGACGCTGAAGAGACTTCTCGATGGCTACTTTGACCTAAAAGTGGGTTTACGAAGTCAGCGTATGTCTCAGTCGCAGTTTTTACATTGGTTGACTGACGTGTTCTGGGGAAGTGTCTATTTCACCGATCGAGCTCTTGAAAGCAAACTTGGTAGCAAGAAAGATGTCCTTGCGCTTGTCGGGGTTGGCCTTGAACCACTGTCCTACCAAGTCTTCGTTGTCGCCGTAACTAGAATAGCTGTTAGCTGTTGTCAGACCCAACGACCCGACAACCATACACATCAGAAGAGTCCCAGAAGCGTTCGCCTAGCTTATGGGCCAAGTCAAGCATTGCCAGACGTTCAGAGTCTGGCTTCGGCTTGCCATAGAACGAGGACAAGCCCATGAGGCCGAAACCCAGGCGGTTGACTTGAGGGCCATCGCGACCGAGAGGTGCAGTGGGCAGAGACATTGTGGTATCGAGTGATGAAATTGGGTTCAGAAGGAAGGCAGACTGCTGTGCAATTCGACCGGAAGGGACTTGGTTTTAAGTGTGAGATAGGCACTGGGACGGACGAAGTAAACTAAGCTTAATTATCGGGTACCTGATTACAATGACGCTGGTATCCCACCCGCATTGACCTCACTTGCCACTAACTCCTTAACCCCGCTATGCATGAGATCATACCTGTGTATCCGCCACGAGTACTGTAGCTTCACCTTCCGTTGGTACATAGTAACTCGACGGATATTGAGACTTA